TCAGCCTGAGAAATGAAATCTGAATTTCCTAAACTAGTAGTAAATATACAGTTTGTGGAGGAGTTTCTTATGATTGAAAGGGACTGAAATGTAGAGAACGAATAAAATCTGTGCGTCTGAAACAGAAACTAGGACTGAATATAAGAACCATAAATCGAAAGGGACAGGCACGATTTGCACAAGTGGGTTTGATTTGCACTTTACCCTTCTAAAATGAGTATTGTGATTGCTTCCCTGTTTGATACACATTTTGGGAGTAAGAATGCATTTTTACTGTTGATGTGATGGAGAATATGTGGTTGAAAGAGAATGACAAATTATTGATGTGATGAAAAATATTATTTGATTAAAGGATGTGTTGTTGAAAATGGTAAAAGAATGAGAATGAGAAAATTAATGTGGTTCAAACGGGGCATGTTTGATACACATTCTTAAAAAAATGCATTCTTTCAATAATTATTTTCAACCATACAATCTTCAATAAAATAATATTATACGCAAATTCAAAAAAAATCTTATTTTTTAACCACATATTTTCTATCACATCACTATTTAAAATGCATTCTTTCTTTAAAATGTGCATCAAATAGAGGCTTATTTTTTAACCACATATTTTCTATCACATCACATGAACATTATGAAAGCAGGGAACCATTAGCAAAGTACCAGCATATTGTGCAACTTGCTGGTAGATTGCTACTTATAAAATTATTAATTTATTTAGAAAATAATATATAATTTAACCCCTAGTTGATATCAATTAAAATCTAGATTTTAATCTAGGTCAAAGTCAACAATTATTTTAAACACACATTTTATGGATCTCACAACTTTTCAACGATACATTTCATCAACTTCTATCAAAATCTACTAAAAACGTGATATTATTCCAAACCAAACATAGGTTTATTATGAATTACGAGACTAAATTTTAAAAAATAAAATTTAATACTTCGAATTCTAAGTACATGAATTCTTTCACATAATTTCTACAAGTGTTGCTGTGGCAGCACCTGATTTGTAGACAGTTTTTTTCCTTGCCATCTGCCAATCAATCTGTGTCATGTAAGGTTTCTGTGAGAATCTCTATATAACATTACTCAATTAAAAATACCTTCAATGACTCCCAACAGGGAACCATTAGCAAAGTACCAGCATAGAGCATAAATTAAAAGATGGTAGCAAAAAGATAAAACTTCAGTTTAAAGATGTAATTACTCCGAGTAGCAAAACATATATAAAAAAGAAACAGCAAACTGCAAAGGAAAAAAATGAACTTGTGCAAAAGAATAGGAAATGTAGGGGGAAATTGAATCACTTATTTTAATGCCACTTCTTGAATTACCATAATCGTTCGCCCTGATTTCCCAAATTGTTGGAGGAGTTAACTGCTGTTCAGGAAATATATTGGTTGGACTACTAAAATATGGGCCAACTCCATCAGACACCAGATATTTGTGATTTGCAAGATGATTACCTCTCACAAAATCTCCACTTTTTCAGCTGTTTGATGATGCAGAAGACCCATAAAATTAAATCCTATCATGAGAACCAAATGACAGCCCTTCAAATTGGAATCTGCAATCCCATCTCAGTGGTGGTGGTGGCGGCGGCGGCGGCGGCGAAAAACTTGTATTAGTCCACCAGTAGGATTCATGTGGCCCCCACAGACCACTCCCTGCTGGTTGCATTAGATCATATGGCCTTGCAGCCACACAACAAAGGGACCCCTTTTTAGCTATCTTACACACCACTCACCGGAAAACCATCCCTGCTCATTTCCACAACCTTTGAAAAGCTTAAGAAAGACTAGTTCAATTTTCTCAAAGATAAGCATCCTCTGGATGTTATTATTTGTAGCCACATCAACTAAAAGCCAATGGTAGTATGTCACTTTCCCACTAAGGAAGCCTAGTCTTTATGAATTTGATCGCCAGAGAGCTTGAAACTCAATTACAATAATCTACCATTTCAACGAAAATGACGAGGCAACACAGCAGGAGTCAATTCACCATAATGAAAGACGGTCATCAATGATGTCAACAATATTACAAAATCTAGTCACCAATTGAAATCTGAACAACAGCTCAAAACTGAGCCCCCTGTAATCAAAGAAAAAGAAGTAAACACAACAATGTAAACTCTAAAACATGATAACTAGTACCAAACTAATGAAATGCATCCAAACCTCAAATTGTCAACAAAAAATGAATTATATTCCATTCAATTCAATAAAAAATCACATTGACATAAAGAAGACTTCAAGGAACCCAAAATTTTTCCTTATCTCCCACCAAATATAGACATCTTCTTCTGAAAGGAGTCCATTCTGATAATTCAATACATAATTATTTATAATTAACCCGTAAATAGATATACTTGTTTATCATTACAAGAAATCTTTGAGCAGCTAGAGTTACATGCAAGAAAATCGAAGTAATAATCTAAAAAAATTATACCAAACAATCGAAGACACCTAAAAGTTTCCATATAAAAAAGGTCAGTTAAAATAATAGCCCCTTCCTCAGCAAGACATTCAATCATTACCAGTTATTGCTAAAAAAAATGAAAAGCCAACCAAAAAATACTACTTTATTATAAAATGATAAACCCCATAACTAAAATCTTCAACAAATATTCAACGGAGAAAATGGGCAGTCAATAGCCAAAAAAGGAAATGCAAAAAGGCATTCAGCCTGAGAAATGTAATCTGAATTTCCTAAACTAGTAGTAAGTATACAGTTTGTGGAGGAGTTTCTTATGATTGAAAGGGACTGAAATGTAGAGAACGAATAAAATCTGTGCGTCTGAAACAGAAACTAGGACTGAATATAAGACCATAAATCGAAAGGGACAGGCGCGATTTGGACAAGTGGGTTTGATTTGCACTTTACCCTTCTAAAATGAGTATTGTGAATTGTGATTGCTTCCTTGTTTGATACTGAAGGAATATCAGACTAGCAGCCGAGTTGATGGAGTATTCCGGTTTTTGGTTGCAGCCATTGAAGCCCAGTCCAATTGTGAAGCCCAGTTCTTAGAGTCCAGTGTTAGGGAATAAAAGGATAAAACGTGTTTCTTCTTTTACGTTTCTTCTCCCACGTTTTTCTTCACTTTTCTGTTATTTTTGTTAGAGTCTCGCTGTCCTCTTTCGATTGGTTTGGACTGTGTTCTCTCCATCTATATATGATGGAGATCACTCCCATTTCGTTTGTAATTTTTTATGGTTAAATAATTGAATATTAGTTTTTACTTCTCACTTTGTTCATGGTATCAAAGCAATGGTTCAAAGCTCTAAGGATTAAAGTTTCCTTTTACTAATATTGAAATGGAAACACACTAGGATCTGCCTCCAATCGATTCTGAAGATGATGAAGCTACAGAAAAGCAAGTAGCAGAGAAGACATATTTTAATGGAGATCCATTAGATTTGCAGAGCTCAGACCATCCAGGAATACAGCTAGTCACCTCTCACTTAACAGGCCAAAACTATCTCAGTTGGAGTAGATCTGTTAAGATAGCCTTAGGAGCAAAATTGAAATTGGGTTTTATTGATGGAAGTTGTGGAAAACCAATTGAAAATTCAGTTAGATTTGAACAATGGGTACTAGTTGACTGTATGGTTAGATCATGGTTGTTAAATTCGATTTCGAAGGAAATTGTGGAAGCTTTCATATACACTATGATGGCTAAGGATTTGTGGGAAGAGTTAAGGGAGAGATACGGGGAATGCAATGGACCCCTATCATACCAATTGCAGAGAGAAATTGGAAGCATTTCTCAGGGGATGTTGACTGTTGAGAAATACTATACTAAATTGAAGAAGCTATGGGACGAACTAGCATGTTTAATGCCTATTCCGGTCTGCACCTGTACAGCATCCAAGGAGGTATCAGATCTGACAATTTTCAATCGATTAATGCAATTTTTGATGGGGTTAAACGATACATTTGATCATATAAGAAATCAAATTCTTGTAATGGATCCTTTGCTCTCAGTGAACAAGGCATATTCAATGGTGCTTAGAGTTGAAAAACAAAGAGAAGTGTACATAAATTTTCCTGGGATGAATGACAATTCAGCTATGCTAATTAGAACCACTGATTATAAGAGAGATAATGGAGGCAGAACTAGTTACTACAGAGGATCTGGGAGAGGACGATTTGGAAGAGGTAATTACAGTATAGCAAGGGGAAACACAAGAAGATTTGGTGCTGTTGAAAGGGAGAATTCTCACTGTGACCATTGCAACATGAATGATCACACAAAGGATATATGCTTTAAGCTAAATGGATATGCAGACTGGTACAAAGATCTTTTATACCAATTGCAGAGGGAAATAGGAAGTATTTCTCAAGGAATGTTGACAATTGAAAAATACTACACGAAATTGAAGAAGTTATGGGATGAATTAGCATGCTTAATGCCCATTCCAATCTGCATTTGTGCAGCATCGAAGGAGGTATCAGATCTGACAACCTTTAATCGATTAATGCAATTTTTGATGGGGTTAAATGATACGTTTGGTCATATTAGAAACCAAATTCTTGTAATAGATCCACTACCTTCAATTAATAAGGCCTATTCAATGGTGCTTAGAGTTGAGAAACAAAGGGAAGTGCACGTAATTTTTCCTGAGATGAATGACAATTAAGCCATGTTAGTTAAAACTACTGAATATAAGAGAGAAAATGGAGGCAGATCGGGCTTCTATAGAGGGTCTAACAGGGGACGTTTTAATAGAGGAAATTACAATTTAGCAAGAGGAAACACAAAAAGATTTGGTGTTCTGGAAAGGGAGA